CCTCGGGCGATGCGGAGCGCGTCTGGCGCTGTGGCCTGCGGCCTAGGCCAGAGCCGGGTTAGTCCCCGGCTGCCGCCCCTTTGAGAGGGGGGTGTGGAGCCGAGGGCCTCGAGCTGTCCCCGATGGCTGGGGTAACCTGTTGGGACCACGTGTTGCTGTCTGGAGAAGGTCTTAAAATGGGACGTCTTTGCTCTTTCTTGCAGGTTCCAAAGATGGAAGCATCCAAGAAGTGAACGTGAGCCCCTGTCCCACGCAGCCATGCCAGCTCCACAAGGGGACCTCCTACAGCATCAATGTTACCTTCTCCAGCAGTAAGAATTAGCTCCTCTGGGCCTCGGGTGTTGGTGGGGTAGAAATATTTGTGCTGCTCTGTGAGGAGGGATGGGGCAGATGAGGAGGTGATGCCTTTTGTCCCTGTGCCCAAGTGTTTGGGGAGGATTGGGGAAAGGTGGCTGGAGGGCAGCTTTGGGTGGGAAAAAGTAGCAAAAGAAGGAGGAGGAGTGTTGCTTATTTGTGTTCTTGGCAATCTCCAAGCAAACCAGAGGGATGTCTGGCGGGTGTGATAACAGAAATGTTTTCCCTGCTCTGGTGCTACTCATGCTTCTCCATATTCTGCAGAGATTGAGAGCCAGGGCAGCAAAGCAAAGGTGTATGGGGAGATGCTCCATGTGGACATACCCTTTCCCATTCCTGAGCCTGATGGATGCAAATCTGGGATCCAGTGCCCCATTCAGAAGGGCCATTCCTACAGCTACCTGAATAAACTCCCTGTGAAGAGCGAGTACCCTAGTGTAAGTAAGCAGGAGGCTGGTCAACTCCTCTCAGCTACCATCCTTCCTGGGGCAGTGCCATGGCCTGCCTTTAAGGAAGGAGACCTTGTCCTGTGGTGGTGGGGAAGAGGTTAGAAAGAATCCTCGACTTTCTGGTATCACTTCTGCTGTGAATATAGCTCCTTCTCTAGTTCCTGCTTTGGGGCAGACCCAGCAGAAGCAGCCTGGGGCCAGCTGTTGGGAAGTTGCTTCAGCTGCCCAAGCATCTGTCCTTCTGTACTGTGCTTGTATGTTGCCTCACTGCAGAGCCTGCTACTTCTGGCCAAATGCTCAAGTTTGGGGGTGCTCAGCTTCAGGACACGGTTCAGCTGGGAGGCTGCAGGTTGCTTCCCCTCCCTACTTACTTGGAGAGTGGGGGTCCCAGTGCAGAGCATGCAAGTCTCCTGCGTTGCGTTGCAGAACCCTTACATTGTGTGTAAGATACTCCAGGAATTGCTGCATGAGTGTGAATCACCTACTGCATCTGAGGCAAGGCCTGGTTCTGCTCAGTCCTCACTGCATGGAGCTCCCAGGGCCTCTTTCTTGCTCCACAAGCCAACTGAGGCTACCCTGTGGCCTTCCCTTTCTGAACACATTCACTTCCCTGTTTTCTTTTCTCTCTCTTCCAGATTAAGCTGATTGTGAAGTGGGAGCTGGTAGATGATCAGGACCAGATGCTATTCTGCTGGAAGATACCAGTGCAGATCACCAGCTGAGGAGCCCTGTAGCTAGCAGGCCTTGGGGAGGGGAGAAACAGAGAAGACAACACAGACCAAATTCTTTTATATAATAAGCATTTCTTACTGCTTCCTTGAGAGCTCCACAGCCTCTGAGCAGCCACTACTGTGATCCTGCAAGGTCAGCAGTGGGCGGAAGGCTCCTATACCGGTTAGAGTCCTCTGGGGTCTTCTAACAACAACTCGGGGGGGGGAGCAGAGTCTGCTACTGTTGGCAGGTGTGACTGAACATGAGGGCATTGTCCTCCAGGTGCTCTGTGGAGGTGCTTTAGGTGTTTGAAACAGAGCACTCTCCCCTCACAAAGGGATTTCTCTCTGCAATGAAACTGGCTAGTATCTGAGCTGCTACCTGGTAACCCTTCAGTGCCTCTTGTAGAATGCTGGCTGCATCCATCCTCTTCCATTTCTCCTGCTCTGTTGTGACCAGGGTGCTCCTGGGACATGCATCTCATCCATATGGCTAAAGGAGAGGGAAGAAGAGGAGGCTTTCCCTGAGTTGGCAACCTAGTCTGTTCTGGGCCCTGCTGGAGCCAGCGGATGTGGAGCTGGGAAAACTTTCTTTTGGTGGATGTAAAGCCAAATGGCGTTCAGTGTCTCTGCAGGGATGTTTCTTTCTCTAACCAATGGTTTGCACTGCCTACTAACTTGGAGCTGCTGGGGCCTCCATAACCTATTTTTATAGCTTTCCTTTTAATAAAGGCTAAACAAAAGCTTCCTGAGTTGTCTTCTGTGAGTGGAGGGAAGGAGGAGAAACAGAGATCATACATCTTCAGGTTGTGGTCATGCTGCTCGTATTTCTCAGCTCAAGGCACAGAGGGTGGCCTTGCTTTTCCTGAAGCATCATGGCCTTGGTGTGGGTGACCTGTGTGCAGCTGTGTACCTCCGTTCCTGCTTCTGACTGCTGGAGTGTCCAGCTGGCAATGTCTGGCTGTGCTCCTGCCTTGCTGGTCCTGTGCTAGCCTGAAGCAGTGCAGAAGCTCTCTAAAGACATGATTATTTTTGATGCTGCCCTGCTTCTGGCAAGGGCTCTTGAGACCTGCAAAGCAGCTCCCAGACCTTCTCGAGGGCTCTTGCCAACTGGGGGAACATGCAGACCCTAATGCTTAAACTGCAGCATCCTTGTATGTGAATGAGGCAGGGTGTGTGGGGACACATCTGCTAAGGGCCTGCATGGGCTGGAGTGGGTTCCAGCAGCTGGCAGTGGGTTGGGAAAGATAAAGCAAGTATTTGGCCTGGCAAGGCTCTCTCTTCTCATCCAGAAGCAAGAGGCTAGTTGTCAGCAAGAGAGAGGGGTAGGAATTAGCTTACAATGGTGAATGGGCCTTGCTAGGCTAGACCTCCTGAGAGGACATGGTTCTTGTACCACAGCTGAGGCATTTCCACTTGGCAGAAAGAAGGCAGACACAGTTCAGACCAACCCCAGTGTCTTGAGGCACAGGGCCCAAAATAAATGTTTTATTTAACAACATGACAGAAGTTTCCAGCAGACTCACTTAAAAAAAGTCACCAACAACTTGACAGAAACTAGGCTGGAACTGCCCTCCCTCCTACCCACCCAGCCAGCGCAAGGCACGAAGGCAAAGTGCAAGGGTAAGGATGCGCCTGGGATGGCTGCAGGGAGAGATGGCTGTGGGGAACCAGCTAGCCACCTCACCATCTCTTAAGGTTAGGCAGCAGCTTTAGAAAGCTGGGATTGACCCCCCACAATGCTCTGGCCTTGGGCAGGGTGCTTCATGGGGAACAAGGGGGTGAGCACCTGTAGTGGGGGGTGAGGCTTGTTGCTGGGTCAGTGCAGCCATGGTGCTCACTTGGGAAAGCGGCAGGATGAATCGAATTTCTCTGCCCAGTGAGGGAAGGAGACGGGGTCTGTGCAGTAGGGGAAGATGTCCTGCAGACCTCTGTGGTGGGAAGTGGTGCAAGGAGTGCTGGGAGTCTGTAGCCCAGGCAAGGGGAGGCTGGGGAGGGCTCTGCTGTGGCACAAGCAGGAGCTAGTAGTGAGCAGGCCAGGAAGGACAGGGGCTGCAGAGGCTTGGAGCTTGGCCCTGGCCTGTACACATGCAGGCACCGCTGGGAGAGAGGTGGCAGGGAAGCTGTGTGCTTTGGAGGGGAAAGAGCGAAGGGCCTTAAAGCAACCAGAGCCCCAGGGGCCTTTCTCTGTGCTGCCGGATCCCAGGTACCAGAGCAGAGTGCTGGAAGGGAGTACCCTCACCTGCAGCTCTCCTAGAGCTATGCTGCGGCTGGGCTCTGGGCTGTCTGGGGCACGCAGTGGTGGGGCTGGGCCAGGGCCACGTAGCCCGGTGAGCAGCGGCAGCGGTAGGAGCCCTCTGTGTTCTCGCACGTGCCACCCTGGCACAGGGGCTCAGGGCCGCTCACCTCCTCACATTCGTTAATGTCTGTAAGGAGAAGGGATGTGAGCTGGTTGCATGAGGATGTCCTGATTGCCCCTCCCCACTACACAGCAAGCAGTCCCAGCCCACAGCCAGCATCTCCTTGTGCCCCTGCCAATCCCCACAGCCTCCCCAAGCTTCCCCAGCACCTCCAGGCTGCCACCATGACCCCCTCCAGCCTCCTGCACCCATCACACCAGACAGCACCCCTCTTCCCTCCCCACCCTTGCTCCATTACTCTGTTTAGCATTCTCGCAGAGCCCCTTCACTCCCCCCCCACCTCCACCAAGTATGACATCCCCAGCATCTGACACCCCCAACATAAGACAGACTCCCCCATCCCCAGCAGATAAGGTGCCCCCCCACCATGATATGTAGCTGGTGACCACTCAGAGGAACGCAGCAGCTCCCTCTGCTCCACTCACAAGTTGTGCTATAGCATAAGATCTGGGAGAAAGGCCAACTCCAGCCTTGGAAAATGCCCTTTCCTGATCTGATATGGGCTGGAGGAGGCAGATGATGGTGACCCTGAGAGGCTGATTATCACCTCCAGGACCAGAACACAAAGGAAGCTTGCGCTGTGCAAACAAGGGGTTGTTTTATTAACCTGCAAACTGTGCCAAAGTGCTCATCCAGCCCGTCTGCTGCCGGGCCAGCTGTTTGCGGAAGGGAGCCCCATGTGCAGCCGCACTAGCTGCGAAGATTAGCTCTGCTAAAGGCAGCTTTCCAGGACCCAGTGCCTAAACTTTGACTTGTGGAGAGGCAATCAGCTGGGCAGAGCATCCCAGTCTGTTTCATACCCCTTGCTTGCACTTACAGGACCTTCAAATGCCTGCCCAGACCCCAAATTCTCATCCGATGAGGCAGATCTGAGCCCTCCGATCGCAAACTCCAGCCTCATCCTGAGCAGATTGGCAGTGACTCCAAGACCCAGGGAGTGAGCATGAAGGAAGGAGGGACAGCTGATGGGCTCATCAGTCCACCCAAGTGAGAGCAAAAGACCGAGTAGAGACAGATATCGGGGGCCTGAACAGCTCTGCACACCCCTGAGACCTTAGACTACCCTAGCACGGCTAAAACTCTGCACAGATAGGGCCAACTGCCAAAGAAAGGGAAGCACAACACTAGGGAGGGAGATTTGAAGCAAAACCTGCAGGTGTGGTATGAGGAATTATAGCAGCCACAGGAGGGACAAGAGGTTAAAAAAAAAGGGGAAATGTGAGATGGCAAGATTGGGGAATAAGGCAGCTTTAGTATGCAACAAAGCAATGGCTGAACTGGCACTGCAAACTTGGGATAAACTGCAGGACTAGAATATCAGCACAAATGAGACAGGCTTACTTAGAAGCCCAAGCAGGAAAAGATGTTAGAGAGCACATTGGAGAGTGGTTCTCTACACAGTAAGCTGTCTACGAAGTGCTGCCCAGAGGGCCTCTGCAGGCTGGGGAGTGGTGGGAAGCAGCCTTGTTGATGTCTCCAGGAAAAGGTAAAAGGGGAAAAAGCAGGCAAGATGTTATGGCTGGGTCAGTTGTGGACCACCAAAGGAGAAGGAATAGAATGAGGCTATTTTAGAGCAAAACCACCTGAAAGCCAGAAGCAGTAGAGCTATTATCAGTGTGCGGCACCAAGCTAGTGAACCTGCTCACTAGGACCGGGCAGCGGCTTTCAGAGCTGTGCAGCAGGGACAGCCAGATTGCCCTAAGGGACAAAGGAATCAAGGGGAGTCAGCCTTTACTGAGGGACAAGGCAAGCTAGCCCCATATGGAGGAGACATAGAGCAGCATCAGGAGTACTTTAAAGGCTTGAAGTCAGCAAGGTAAAAACATGGGTGTGTGACTAAGCCCCATTGTAGGGAAACTAAAGGGAGAAACTGAGAATGGCTTCAGTGTAAAATGACTGCTAGTTAGGAGAGGACACAAAAGGCAACAAGAAAAGGCTCTATAAATACATTAGCAGGAAACAATGAAAAAATGTCCGTCTGCTCCTTATCGGAGGAGGAAACAAAAGCCAGACAACGCTGAGCCAGTTAGAGTAGCTAACACAGGCTTTGTTCCAGCCAAAATGTTGTTACAGTCATAAAATGCCCATTGTGACCAGATACAGTGTGGATCATGTTTAAAGTGTTTAAATGAGGGCACAGGAGTACAGGCCAGACTATGGGAGGCAAAGGCAACGTGATGGGCAGGTTCAAGAATTAGTTAGGTAAAATGCATTCATATCATCAAAGGCCTGCTGAAACTCATCTTCAAATACTTAATGCTCCAACAGACCCTGAAAAGTTAGTGTTTCCCTCTGAAATGGAGGATAAAGCAGGTCCCAGAGACCTGAGGAAGGGTAACCATGGTATCTATCCTCAAAGACAGAGGAGGAAGAACACAAAATTACAGACCACTCAGCTGGTCCCCCCC